TGCTGCTGCTGCTGCTGCTGCTGCTGCTGGCGCTGCTGCTGGTGTTGCTGCTGTTGCTGCTGCTGCTGGTGTTTCTGCTGCTGGTGTTTCTGTTGCTGCTGCTGCTGCCGGTGCCGCTGCTGCTGCTGCTGTTCCTGCTGCTGCTGCTGCTGCTGCTGCTGCTGCTTTGTGGCGCAGGTAGACGGCGAGTTCTGCAGCAGCAGGGCGGGGGAATCTGCAGCAGCAGCAGCAGTCTCTGAGGGGCCGCAGCAGCAAATGGACTTTGCTGCAGATGAGAATAAAGCTGATGTTTTTATTTTTAATTAAATTAAAAATAAAAAACTGAGAAGCAGCAGGAAGGGTCTCTAAGCCTTCGAATATCACTGTGTGAGCAGCAGCAGCAGCAGCAGCAGCAGCAGCAGCAGCAGCGCCGCAGCCGCCCGCCAAAGCCAGCCCCTGCTGCTGCTGCTGCTGCTGCTGCTGCTGTCCGCGGCGGCGCTGGTGGGGCGGGGCTGCTGCTGCTGCTGTTGCTGCTGCTGCTCTGCGCTTGGCAGCAGCAACACCAGGAGCGCCTGCTGCTGCTGCTGCTGCTGCTGCAGCAGCAGCAGGTGCTGCTGCTGCTGCTCTGTTAATTAAATATTTTAATAATTGCTTCGCCTGTTTATTTCTTTCCAAAACTTGCAAAGAAGGGCAAAAGATATGAGTGACAAATGGGCTGCTGCGCAGCAGCCACTTCAGTTCTGCTGCTGCTGCTGCTGCTGCTCCCAGTGCAGGGCCTGCTGCTGCTGCTGCTGCTGCAGGAGCAGCAGCAGATTGAGAGCTTGAGCCTCCTCGGGGTGCTGCTGCCGCTGCTGCTCCTGATCCCGCTGCTGCTGCTGCTGCTGCAGCTGTTGCTGCTGCGGCACTCTGTGCTGCTGCAGCAGCAGCAGCAGCAGCAGCAGCAGCAGCAAGCGGGGGCCTGTCTAAGGTCAGCAGCAAATAGTCAATGCTGATGCTGTTATATGCTGCAACAGCTTCATAGACGCAATAGTCTGCTGCTGCTGAGGGGGGCCCGCAGACGCAGCAGCGCAGCAAACGAGGAGCTGCTGCTGCTGCTGCTGCTGCTGCTGCTGCTGCTGGGGCTTCTGCTGCTGCTGCTGCGGAGCTCGGCGCTGCTGCTGCTGCTGCTGCTGCTGCAATGCGCAGCAGCTGCTCCCGCGCCCGCTGCTGCGACTGCAGCAGCGGGGGCCCCTGTGGGCCCCTAGGGTTTTGCTGCGCTGGAGGCCCCATGTGCAGCAGCAATTAATGAATTATTTATTTATTTATTTATTTATTTATTTATTTATTTATTTATTTATTTATTTATTTATTTATTTATTTCTGAAACACAGAAGCAAACTTATTTATTTTAGTTGTGGAGGTTTCGGGGAAAAAGACACGCGAGAGATGCAGGGGTATGAGGGGCGGGCCCCAAACCCTAAACCCTAAACCCTAAAAGAGGGTTTAGGGCGCGCCGAGGGTTTGTTGTCTCCGTGTGTTTCCGCTGCAGCTGCCTCAATTTCAACAGAAAATAAAAAGAAGAAGAAGTGAAGGGGCGAGGGGGGTGGTGGTGGCGGCGCGGGGGTGAGGGTTTAGGGTTTAGGGTTTAGGGTTTAGGGTTTAGGGTTTAGGGTTTGCACGGGCTGGGAATTAAATGAACCCCGATGATCAGTTGCAGCAAATAAATTAATGCTGCTCTATTTTTTTGGGTTTTTTTTCGAAGTGGCGTTTGGGGCTGTCGGCTGCTGCTGCTGCTGCTGCTGCTTCTGCTGCTGCTTCTGCTGCTGCTGCTGCTGCTGCCGTTTCTTTCCCTCTTTTCTCGTGTCTCTCTCTTTTGTTATTCAAATTTAAAAAAAATAATTAATTGGATTTGCTGCGTGGCAAAATCGGGGCGTATCTTGAGGTGCGCAGCCCTTGTCTTCGTCGCGTGAGGGTTTAGGGTTTAGGGTTTAGGGTTTAGGGTTTGGGGTTTGGGGTTTGGGGTGGAGGACATATCTTTTGGTCCTGAGAGGAAAAGAGTGTTTGATTTTTTCTCACTGCAGCACGAGCTGCAAGCCCTAAACCCCAGACCCTGCTCCCCAAACCCTAAACCCTAAACCCTAAACCCTCGCCGCTCCTGGCCGACTTCCCAGCATCTCTTTGCCTCTTCCTTTTGTCTCCTCCTGCTTCAAACCAAAGAGGCTGCTGAAGGCGAAGCAGCAGCAGCAGCAGCAACAGCAGCAGCAGCAGCAGCAGCAGCGGCAGCAGCAGCTGGTCGCTCCTTGTCTGCCCGCGGCTCCGCAGCAAGCAGCAGCAGCAGCAGCAGCAGCAGCAGCAGCAGCACTGCATCACTGCAGCAGCAGCAGCAGCAGCAGCAGCAGGTGGGGTGTTTGTAGAGTTTGTAGGCGATGCGCGCGGCAGGCCCCCTGGAGTTGAGCGGGGCCCCCGGGGCCCCGCGGGGCCTGCCTGCTGCTGCTGCTGCTGCTGCTGCTGCTGCTGCTGCAGGTGGCGGCGCTGCTGCTTC